CCCTGACCCTGACCCTGACCCTGACCCTGACCCTGACCCTGACCCTGACCCTGACCCTGACCCTGACCCTGACCCTGACCCTGACCCTGACCCTGACCCTGACCCTGACCCTGACCCTGACCCTGACCCTGACCCTGACCCTGACCCTGACCCTGACCCTGACCCTGACCCTGACCCTGACCCTGACCCTGACCCTGACCCTGACCCTGACCCTGACCCTGACCCTGACCCTGACCCTGACCCTGACCCTGACCCTGACCCTGACCCTGACCCTGACCCTGACCCTGACCCTGACCCTGACCCTGACCCTGACCCTGACCCTGACCCTGACCCTGACCCTGACCCTGACCCTGACCCTGACCCTGACCCTGACCCTGACCCTGACCCTGACCCTGACCCTGACCCTGACCCTGACCCTGACCCTGACCCTGACCCTGACCCTGACCCTGACCCTGACCCTGACCCTGACCCTGACCCTGACCCTGACCCTGACCCTGACCCTGACCCTGACCCTGACCCTGACCCTGACCCTGACCCTGACCCTGACCCTGACCCTGACCCTGACCCTGACCCTGACCCTGACCCTGACCCTGACCCTGACCCTGACCCTGACCCTGACCCTGACCCTGACCCTGACCCTGACCCTGACCCTGACCCTGACCCTGACCCTGACCCTGACCCTGACCCTGACCCTGACCCTGACCCTGACCCTGACCCTGACCCTGACCCTGACCCTGACCCTGACCCTGACCCTGACCCTGACCCTGACCCTGACCCTGACCCTGACCCTGACCCTGACCCTGACCCTGACCCTGACCCTGACCCTGACCCTGACCCTGACCCTGACCCTGACCCTGACCCTGACCCTGACCCTGACCCTGACCCTGACCCTGACCCTGACCCTGACCCTGACCCTGACCCTGACCCTGACCCTGACCCTGACCCTGACCCTGACCCTGACCCTGACCCTGACCCTGACCCTGACCCTGACCCTGACCCTGACCCTGACCCTGACCCTGACCCTGACCCTGACCCTGACCCTGACCCTGACCCTGACCCTGACCCTGACCCTGACCCTGACCCTGACCCTGACCCTGACCCTGACCCTGACCCTGACCCTGACCCTGACCCTGACCCTGACCCTGACCCTGACCCTGACCCTGACCCTGACCCTGACCCTGACCCTGACCCTGACCCTTCTACCACATCTTATTCAAATTCTAATTTAAATTCTAATTAATAATTAGTACTAACATTAAATGGCTTATGACACGATTGAGGTGCTGGAGTTCAGAATTTGACTTTGGTCGGAGAAAGCTTACAGCAGATCGAGAGCTTAGCATTGGTCTACATCATCAAATTCTGATTAATTTTGAGATAATGGCAAGGAGAGTGGAGACGAGTTAATTTGGTCACTATTAAAGTAATGTTAGAACCTGGGGGTGACCTCCTCGTACACCATAGGATCGAGGACCTTCGATGAGCGACGGGAAAGATTCTGAGGGGCACAATAGTTTTTGGCAGGTTGCATGATAATATATTTTTTAATCATTTTGTGTACTGTATTTATTGGGTTGAGGCTATTTTAAAATTCTCTATACTGATCGATATCTTAGTTAGGTTTGGATATTTTTGTGCCATTTGAAATAAATAAGTCACAACAAATCAATTACTTGGTAAATAAATTAACTCATCTCTTTTGATTTAAAATGTAATTTTCGATGAACTAATAGATTTCATAAATTTATTCAAAAACGTTACCTTCAACAAACCTGATCTGTTCCCAGTTAGCAGGAGATAGCAGGAGTGAGGAGTGATCCGCAGAACTCTGTTTATAGGTTAATTCGAACCTAAACCCCAGCCCCATTTTATTTTTTAACACCCACCGGCCACCCAACAATCAAAATTCCGTTATAATTCTTACTCTTAAAATATTTCAATTATAGAATAAATGTATACCTTGTTTTTTACAGCTAGGTGTCTGTACAGAAGTGAATTCTGTCCCCGCTGTGCAGGTCACTTCACTGCTCCCTTGGTTGAGAGCTGCTGAGTCGGTGCACGTCACTTTCACAATGGTTCCTGGGACAACTGGGAACTGAACTGCTGGTGTAATCGTACTTGTCCAGTCAGCATTGAGGCCAGTGCAGCCCACTGTTGGTAAACACTTGTTTGTTATTGTTGGAAATGAATATCAACTTAGTATGAAACTAGAAATTTGAGCTTAGTAAAAATCCAATCTATCTGTTTTGGAAAATTCAATTTATTCTGCCAGTTGATGGAAAAGTAAAATATTCTATAATTTACTCGAATAATCTCAGACTTACCGCATACAGTTTTATCGGTGTTCGCTTCTCTTCCAGCTCCACACGCATTGCAGGAGCTGCCATCCAGTGAACTGATGGTATTTCCGGTACATTGTTCACATGTTGCCATGTTAGCTAACCTGTAACTACCTGCTGCACACGTTTCTGAAATAAGTCACACCCCTCAATATTTTCAGAAACTAGGACACCTCAACACCAAAAAATCCTCATACACCCACAGAAAACAACTCCCTACTCACCAAAAGAAGTTCGCGGTACTACTCTCAGAATACGACACCCCGTTCCTCTCACCCTACGACACTCTTAAAACGCTCGACATACCCTCTCCCACATTTCATGGTCCCCTCCTCAAGACCTCACCTACCCCCAAGAAAGACACCACAGCCAAAACAGTGATCAACCTCTCTGGACAGACCCTCTCCACAGCTGAAACTGACGTCCTCTCCCTTGGACTGAAGTTCGTCCCGACACCCACCTCAGATTCTACCCCCGACCTGGCTCCCCTCATACAGAATATCACTAAACAACTAGGAGAAGGCATGGAAGCCTCAGCCACATATCAGGTCACCTCTATATTATCTAAATTTGACAATAAACGTGACATGACCACCGACAATTTGACTCCACAACAACGTACCGCTCTTAAATCTTTAAAATCTAAGAAATCTGAATTGAAATTTCTTCCTGCTGATAAGGGCAACGCCACTGTTGTACTGACTCACGATCAATACATAACCAAAGTTACCGACCACTTATCCTCAGGTAGTTACACCCTCTTAACGAAAGACCCCACTCAATCCGTTACCACTAAACTACAGAAAGTCCTCAAGAAACTACACACCGACAAGAAGATCACGACTGACCTATACCACAAGATGCGCAACCTACATCCTAGATGGCCTCAACTTTACGGACAACCTAAGATACACAAACCCGGCGCACCCATCCGTCCCGTAGTCAGCTTCTACAACACCCCCTCCAAGCCCTCCACAAAGTCCTCGCATCTTTCCTCAAACCCCTAGCCCAGAACCCCTTACGCCTCAAAGACTCTTCCGACTTCAAACATCGCTTCGACTCCTCTCTCAATCCCTCCTTCCACTACCACGCCTCCTTAGACGTCCAATCCTTGTACACCTCCTGTGACATGCGCCTAGCCCTCAAAACTGTCATCTCCTCCTTTGAACAGAACCCCTCTCGTCTTCCCTCCAATGTCACCACCACCACCATAGGCTCCCTTATCAACTTTTGCCTTGACAACTCATACCTTGAATTCAACGGCTCCTTCTACTCCCAAGACGAAGGTGGTACAATGGGATCCCCCCTCATTGTTGAACTAGCTGAAATCCGCCTTGCTGAAATCGAGACCTTAGCTTTATCCTCATGTCCTGACCCTCCGAACACTTACTCCCATTTCGTTGACGACGGCCTTGGATCTTTCAGAGACAGAAACCACGCAGAATCCTTCCTTACATTCCTTAACTCCCTTACTGAAGACCTCAACTTTACCCTAAGAACATCCCTCTACAGACGGAACTATACCCTTCCTTGACGTTCTCATCCACCCTGACAAATCCACATCAGTCTACAGAAAACCCGCCCACACCAACCTCTACACCAAGTACTCCTCCTGCACCACCAACTCATCTAAGAACGCAGTCATCCGATCACTGACCATAAGAGCCCACAACATCTGCTCACCCCAACACCTTGACGACGAACTCCACACAGTACGACACGTTTGCCTCCAGAAAGGCTTCCCTCCTCACCGCATCACCACCATCATGGACGAAGTACAACGGAAATTCACCAACCCCTCTCGCCACCAATCCCTAGCCTCATTCAACCGACAGACCCGTGAACATGCCCTTAGTGTTTCTCTTCCTTTCCATCCCTCCCTATCCAAACCCATCTCCAAGATACTCGGACGACACGACATCAAAGTCACCCACTCCTCTGCTACCTCCCTCCGCAACCTCCTCACCAAAACGAAGACCACACCCCCTACTCACCTCACTCCCAACACCATCTACGAAATTTCCTGCTCACAGTGCCCCTCCAAATACGCCGGACAGACCTACAGACCCTTGGTCCACCGCATGAAAGAACACGAACGATGTTACAGACTCAACAACGCCATCGACGAATCCACAGACTGAATCAAATCAGCCCCTGCACATCATGCCCTGACCACCGGCCACACCATCTCCTGGAACAACATCGAAGTCCTCAAATCCCTCACCTCACGCTCCCAACTTGACCTCACAGAACACGCAGCTATACAAATACGACAACCAGCTATGAACAGAACAGACCGCGCACCCAAATGTAGTTCCCTCTGGGACCCCATTCTTCCTAAAATTGCCAAATCCTTAAAGTCCAGACCATCTGGCATTTCCTTCTCAACCTCAACAGAAGACTAAATTTTTATTGACATTGTACTGTAATTTTCACTTTCCCACCCACACCTCCCCCACCCTCCATCCCTGACACCACTCAATCACATATAAGCATTGTCCACCACATCACATTCAGCTGACGACGATTAACACATGTTTATTGAAAGCTTCTACAAGTTAAATCATCGTATCTCTTATATGTTTTTAACCCAACTCCACTCAGTCACATTTTATAAGTTAACTTATAAAATGTATACACGTTTTTGAAATAATGGGGTATTTATTTGAGACGCTGATAGATAGTTGATATGTTATTTGAGAGGCGTGAGCGTGAATATAAAAGCGAAATATTGAGAAAATCACTCGAATAATCTCAAACATACCGCATACAGTTTTAGCAGTGTTTGCTTCTTCTCCAGCTCCACAAGGAGTACAGGAACTAGCACCAGATGAACTGATGGTATTTCCGGTACATAGTTCACACGAGGTCCCATCAGTTGGCATGTAACTCCCTGCTGCACATGGCTCTGAAATAAATCAAATGCTAGTTATTAGTAATTTATTATTTTATGGTCCATAACTGGATTTTGTAAGGAAAGATGGTAATGAAAATCGACTTAAGTTAATCTACCCGATAAAAGTAAACTCTTAAACAATTTACTTGAATAATTTCAGACTTACCGCATACAGTTTTAGCAGTGTTTGCTTCTTCTCCAGCTCCACAAGGAGTACAGGAACTAGCACCAGATGAACTGATGGTATTTCCAGTACATAGTTCACACGAGGTCCCATCATTTGGCATGTAACTTCCTGCTGCACACGGTTCTGAAATAAATCAAATACTAGTTATTAGTAATTTATTATTTTATGGTCCATAACTGGATTTTGTAAGGAAAGATGGTAATGAAAATCGACTTAAGTTAATCTACCCGATAAAAGTAAACTCTTAAACAATTTACTTGAATGATTTCAGACTTACCGCATACAGTTTTATCAGTGTTCGCTTCTTCTCCAGCTCCACAAGGAGTACAGGAACTAGCACCAGATGAACTGATGGTATTTCCGGTACATAGTTCACACGAGGTCCCATCAGTTGGCATGTAACTCCCTGCTGCACACGTTTCTGCCTCTGAATTATAGATCATATAATTAATCGCTAGTAGTAGTACAGTTAAACCCCAATTTACTGTACCCGATTTACCGTACCTTTTCCCAAAATGTTGAAAAACTTTTCATATTTTAATTTTAAATTAACGTGATCCTTTGAAGTACAACTCATAAATGGACATGGATCCCTCATGATGCCAAGCGAGCTTGTCAGGCGCTTTAGTTTACCTGATCATCCTAACTTGATTACTTTAACCTTAAATTTAATATTGATCTGCCCGTCGGAAATGTAAAATATTAAATAATCTCAAACATACCGCATACAGTTTTAGCAGTGTTCGCTTCTTCTCCAGCTCCACAAGGAGTACAGGAACTAGCACCAGATGAACTGATGGTATTTCCAGTACATAGTTCACACGAGGTCCCATCATTTGGCATGTAACTCCCTGCTGCACATGGCTCTGAAATAAATCAAATACTAATTATTAGTAATGGTCAAAAACTGGTTTTTGTAAGGAAAGAAATGTTATAAAAGTATTTGTTTTTTTTGGAAGAACGATTCGTAATGGTTACCTTAGTTCATGTATTTATGGCGATTGGCGGTTAATATTGTGGTGGGTTAAAATAATGGCAGGTAAAAATAGAACGATTTTTTTAAAATCCGCCAAATTTAATCCGCCATAATTAAACGAACCAATAGGTATGAAAATAACATTTCAATCTACCTGATGAAACATCAAAATATCAAATAATATACTCGAATAATCTCAAACATACCGCATACAGTTTTAGCAGTGTTCGCTTCTTCTCCAGCTCCACAAGGAGTACAGGAACTAGCACCAGATGAACTGATGGTATTTTCAGTACATAGTTCACACGAGGTCCCATCATTTGGCATGTAACTCCCTGCTGCACACTGTTCTGAAATAAATCAAATACTAATTATTAGTAATGGTCAAAAACTAGTTTTTGTAAGGAAAGAAATGTTATAAAAGTATTTGTTTTTTTGGAAGAACGATTCGTAATCAGTAATGGTTACCTTAGTTCATGTATTTATGGCGATTGGCGGTTAATATTGTGGTGGGTTAAAATAATGGCGGGTAAAAATAAAGCGATTTTTTTTTTAAATCCGCCAAATTTAATCCGCCATAATTAATCGAACCAATAGGTATGAAAATTAAATTTCAATCTACCTGATGAAACATCAAAATATCAAATAATATACTCGAATAATCTCAGACATACCGCATACAGTTTTAGCAGTGTTTGCTTCTTCTCCAGCTCCACAAGGAGTACAGGAACTAGCACCCGATGAACTGATGGTATTTCCAGTACATAGTTCACACGAGGTCCCATCAGTTGGCATGTAACTCCCTGCTGCACACGTTTCTGCCTCTGAATTATAGATCATATAATTAATCGCTAGTAGTAGTACAGTTAAACCCCAATTTACTGTACCCGATTTACCGTACCTTTTCCCAAAATGTTGGAAAACTTTTCCTATTTTAATTTTAAATTAACGTGATCCTTTGAAGTACAACTCATAAATGGACATGGATCCCTCATGATGCCAAGCGAGCTTGTCAGGCGCTTTAGTTTACCTGATCATCCTAACTTGATTACTTTAACCTTAAATTTAATATTGATCTGCCCGTCGGAAATGTAAAATATTAAATAATATCAGACATACCGCATACAGTTTTAGCAGTGTTCGCTTCTTCTCCAGCTCCACAAGGAGTACAGGAACTAGCACCAGATGAACTGATGGTATTTCCAGTACATAGTTCACACGAGGTCCCATCATTTGGCATGTAACTCCCTGCTGCACACGGTTCTGAAATAAATCAAATGCTAGTTATTAGTAATGGTCAATAACTGGATTTTGTAAGGAAAGATGGTAATGAAAATCGACTTAAGTTAATCTACCCGATAAAAAGTAAACTGTTAAACAATTTACTTGAATAGTTTCAGACTTACTGCATTCAGTTTTATCAGTGTTCGCTTCTTCTCCAGCTCCACAAGGAGTACAGGAACTAGCACCAGATAAACTGATGGTATTTCCAGTACATATTTCACACGAGGTCCCATCATTTGGCATGTAACTCCCTGCTGCACACGGTTCTGAAATAAATCAAATGCTAGTTATTAGTAATTTATTATTTTATGGTCCATAACTGGATTTTGTAAGGAAAGATGGTAATGAAAATCGACTTAAGTTAATCTACCCGATAAAAAGTAAACTCTTGAACAATTTACTTGAATGATTTCAGACTTACCGCATACTGTTTTAGCAGTGTTCGCTTCTTCTCCAGCTCCACAAGGAGTACAGGAACTAGCACCAGATGAACTGATGGTATTTCCGGTACATTTTTCGCATGTGTTAGCTGACCTGTAACTTCCTGATTCACACGTTTCTGAAATAAATAATGTGTCACTCCAGAAAATTTAAAAACCTCAGCGACATTGTCATTACGTCTGAAACGTTTTGGAAATAAAATTAGGTACGTCGTCATCATATTGTTATATTGTTATTTGATATTGTACCCATTTATTGAAATATCTGATCATGAATTCTTCTTTAAGATATAAAACAGCAACAACAAAAAGCAAGTCAAAGATGCCAGAGAAAAACACTGAAATTATAATAATCTTTTAGGAGAAATCAGACGGTTACCTTCTCTAGCTATAACCGCTATTTCTTTAATCGTAAAAGAACCACCATCCTTTCGTTCGAGCATCACAGTGTCCCCGATTTTGCATTCAGATGAAGTTGACAGACTTCCAGAAGCTCCCTCTGTGGACACTGTGAGGGTGTACTCGTTACATATCTCGCTACCGTCGGCTGCCGCACAGATAAAGATAGAGTTTGAGCATATCCAGATAGTGTGGTCAAGGATGCCTTCGGACCAAGTCACACGTTTGATGCAGTGTTCTTGCCCAAAGCTTATCTTAAACCATGATTCACCATTATCATTTTCTTCTGTGCTTGACCAGGTTTCCAGATCCAGGTCTACAGCACGGTCTGGAGAAAGATCTGGATCTAGAGGGTTGTCTTTAGAGTGTTCAACACTATCGGGTATTATCTCTCCGTCCGATCTCTGTCTTGTTACTGAAATTATTGAGACTGGAATATGTTGCTGGTGAAGACATTGGACCATGTCTTGGAAGTGTTTTCTTAAGCAGATTGATAAAATTTTCAGGTTCAAACTGTATTATTTCATTGCGCCCTTTTGCAGTTTGAGTTAGAACCGGTTGTGAGCGGTACTAACTATATGTATCATCGTTAATTATCAACTTATTTTCTATCAGCGATAGGCAAATTATCAGCTCAGCTGTTGTAACTTACTACTACACAGAGACAACGATGTGAGTTGTAGGAAAACTACCAGAAACATTGACTGTTTGTATCTACATTCTACATTCTACATGTCTGGAAGAATTAATGGTTGAATAGTATCAACGAGGACCTTTTTTGAGAATTTATTTATAAATATCAATATCATTTTAATGGACATAACAGTGACTTATGTCTACCAATCCCTTTATGAGTATGAGTCAATTCCTTTTAGAATCTGCATCCTCCTAATCATGCAGGTTGAGTATGCTTACCGAGAGCTGAGAAGGACAATCAAAATTCAACATGGCTGAGAATTAATGTGGTGTTCTAAAAGCTGAGCTTCCTATGGCTTCAACAAACCACGCGTTATCGGCCACATCACAAGATTTAGATCATAGCCTCTCACTCATGGCAATGACATTGGCGTATGGTGTCATTCGCTTCCCTCTGTCTGCCAAAACTCCCACCCCTCTACTCAGTGCTCAATCCGTATATGCCTATCGTATTTTTTTCTTGGAGGATACAGGTTGGTGGGTCGCTTTCATAATTCAGGCAAAAAGTGGTCATTGGTCGAATGATCGATTAACTCCGCAAAACATCCACGTACAGATGGTGAGTGCTGCGTTCCTATTACCTGGGGATCTCAGGTCTTAGTCTTCATAAAACACTATTGAAGACATGGCGGAATGGCAGGCTGACTGCCGCCCAGTAATGTTCCTAAGGCTAAAGACTAAGTCATTAGCGCACTGCTTAGTGTTAGCTATTACTCCAAAAAGATTTCTGTAAATATCTTTGCACCTTCAAGCTCTTAGTTCTCTATAGTATGAGCTGGCTATGGAAATTCAGATCATAGTCTGTATCTGGTATTGACGGATGATGTAATTCCTTCCCTCAACTCAATATCCTTCCCTCAGTAATACAGTATATGATTATATGGCAATCCTGAGCCTTTATTTCTTCTTGGAGGATCCAGGTTGACGGGTACCTTTCTTTTTCAGACAATAGTTGATCATTGGTTGAATGATCGATTAACTCCGCAAAGCAAGATCAGACTAAAAGAGCCTTAGAGCCACGTAAAAATGATGAGTGCTCCGTTCCCAACGACTTAGCGATAGCTTTTAAAGTTAAACATATACTCCAAAAAATATTTGTACGAATATCTCTGCACCTTCAAGGTCGTAGCGTAGCTTTTTTCAAAATCTAGCGAAGAGAAGCAAGAGAATTTATTCATGACGCGGTAGTGTGCTGCATAGTGCATACACTACATGAAAAGGTCTCCTCCTACATCCTAGTCCTAGTCGTCGGAGTGGCCTGAATCACACACAACACAGTGAACACACATCTCTTAGTCTTGTACTTGTACGACGCGCGTAACACTAACAGGTCAAGTCCTTCCATTCCACTCCGCACTCGGTTGAATTGACGGGTAAATGCTAACTCATAGTCATCTGCACGTATAGTACTTCATCTTGTCTGATGTTGTTAACACTTGTAATTAAGTTAGCAGCATCCTCGAGTACACAGGCCATCCAGCCTTTTGATACTGATAGCGGGGTCTCCCTCTCGATCTTTTTCCATAGTCAAGCAAGGTTTCCAATCGTAAAATTCCGATTACGCGTACGTAATATGTGAACGACCCCTATATGCTATAAACTTGGGGTTTGGGCGGTGCTCAGCCTGTCAGTGTCAATGTCATTCCACCGCAGCTTTTATTTATGAACACTATTAGTATTAGCCTGGGTCCCCAGGTAAGCACGCCCGAGAACGTCTTCATTGGCTGAGACATGGCAAAAACACTTTATCTTCAAGATTCTTCTCGGGAAGGTCAGATGGAAAACCTCAATGAGTCAAAACGTTTCATCTGCCTTTTAGTTTTAGTAGTGTTCGTAATAAAATGCTTGGAGGACTTCGCCGCTTCGACGCGCCGCGCGAACTAGCATTCTTGCTTCGCATCGAAGGGAGGGAGTAATTACTTTTTCTACAACCAAAATCTGGTTGTAAATCCAATATGGACGATTTGCTGCGCCGCGCGCCGATTTACTTGGCATATCACTGTTGCATCGTTTTAAATTAGATAAATGACATCCAATTTATTATAATTAGTATGTAAAATATTATTAAATGCTAGTATTAAATATTCATATAAATTTAAAGAAACATTTTTGGTATTGATTTGTTAAACTTTAGCTAAGAATGAGTTTAAACATGCGCATCTGTGACTTAATTTTACAACCGTGGTGGATATCGTCGACATTATTTCGCGTTGGATATTACAAAATTGTCTTCGTACGGATAGGGTAGCAACAAATTTAAACCCCTATTTATTTATGTTGTATGCAAGTTGATACATTTTTGTTGACTGGAGTAGTTTTTAATTAATTATTTAAATATAATAAAGTAGTAAAAATAGTGATTAAGACCATTTTAATGAAAATCCTTTTAAAAAGGAATTGAATAATTGCTATATCAGGCCTACTAGTGGAATTAGCTTACTAGGTTGTGGGTCCTTGATCGGATAGGACAGAAATAGTCCCATTTTGATGTCGTTTTTCATTCTTGCTCTAGAGATCTATGCTTGTTTTCTTAGCTCAGTTTTTCGTTCTTACTGTTTTTATGCCAGAAGTTTGTTATCGCCAAGCGTGATTTTACTTTTTCTAGCTGGATAGCTGTCGGTCAGTCGAATATAAAGTCTAGTAGTAGTAATATTTACAACTTTCTTTCTAGTTTATATATGCAATTTACTTTCAATTAAAGAATTAAGATAAATTCACATTCTCAACTGTATGGAAAACATTCTGTCGAAGGACTGTTTGCCATTTTAACAGACTAGCCATAATTCTAACGGCCCTGTTCTATAAATTTTTTCGTTATTCTGTAGATTTTGACTCTGCACAGCAGCAGTTGGCAAAAAGGTGAGAACCGATTTGATTCGAATACAATAATAGATCAAGAATTTGCCAAAACTTAGCAACCCCCAGTTTTTTCTTGTTATTATCCTGCTGAAATCTTCTCTAGATTTTATTGACTTTGTCCATGATCTTCTCCGTCAGTGTTTCCACTTGCTCCGCTTTGATAAGGTTCTTAACAGAAATTGTAAATCCTCAGCACAATCAACTGTGTAACTTTGACTTAAATAATGTGTACATTAATATCATTCTGACTCTGCAACGAAATTGTTAGTTCAAATTAGTTAAAGTAGGTACGTATATTCCTTAAACTGTGTCTGTATGCTCCAAACTTGTCGATCGTCATGAGCCTGTTTTTGTCTCCACTTTTGTCTTACCTTACATTGTGTTTATGAATATTCAACCTTCGACTGTTAATATTCAACAGATTACCGTTCAACAATTTTAATTCTACTTACTTATCGAAGTTGTGATCATCGAACTCTCATAGTGCAATTTTAATGCTGTTTTCGTTGGTTTAACAATTAACTTACGATACTTGAGTGCTCTGATATCAATTCTTCTTTACAATTATAATGATTCGCATGATAACGTGATGACTGCTGGTCTTAAGTCAATCTGCTTAATTGAATGTATTCAAACATAACCAGGAAGACATGATAATGAAGACGTTTAAAAATGCGTATTTGAAAACTGTTGCTCTTTTATTTTCCAAAGCAACAGGACCATTACTGTGTTTTAGTAATTCCCTACAATTTACAAGCCATAATATCTTACTGTTTGCATATCTGCAATTTAACCTTGAAATGCTGCTGCACATGTAGTTACCGTGTTTAGAGCAGTGTCTATTTTTCTCAACTTTTGGTCAAATTTATCATGGTAACGATTGATTTGGTTGCTTATTGAGATACTATACTGGATTTACGGGGAATAGGACAGAGAAAATTCTGGACACCTGTCAGCAATGTAAACATCTTATTCGTCGTTGCCCGCCCTGATTTGCTTCCTTAAATCTGATATAGGTTTGCTATCGTACGGTCGAGTGTCTATTACTCTAGTAGCTGAGTGTAGTCAAGTGTAATCGTTGATTATTAGGTCATTCCAAACCAAAATCATCTAGATACCCAATTAGTATCGCTATTGCCAGTTTTTTGACATTTCATAAAACATCAAACCCATCAAAATATCTTATTTAACTTTCCAAGTTAAATATTGAATAGTCATTAAAAGTGGTTTAATTTCACCCTAATTAATTTTTCAACGAAGGAGGGAGCTGGTATTAGAGGAATATTAAAATGTAATAATTAAATGTAGAGGGATTTGTGTGGTATTGATGAGTGAGTCACAGTATTTAAAAAGGTTCAGGAACTGGAGTTAATCAAGTATCTTACCAAAAATCCGCACAATCATTTAAGTATAGTAGGTTTGTGATGTTATTTGGCTCCAGTAGGGTTTAAAGATCAAAAAAAATTTGGGTGGAAATTAAATTTCTGTGTCTATGAAGTCTGTGGCCACGCCCTTTTATACGATCGTGGGAAAATCTTACATGTTCCTGAAATAAATTCATATTCTTATAATTAAAGCATATAGGGTATCCAAACCAATTTTTTTTGGCTCGGGAAATCGATTGGTGATGTCAATTTGACTCTCAGACCACTCCCTGATAAGATAACCACGCCCATATTCACAATCGAGCTTCAAAATTCCAAAAAATGTAAGTGATTTTCTTGGACAAATTGGGTGTCGAAACCAATGTTTTTTGGCTCGGGAAATCGATTGGTGATGTCAATTTGACTCTCAGACCACTCCCTGATAAGATAACCACGCCCATATTCACAATCGAGCTTCAAAATTTCAAAAAATGTAAGTGATTTTCTTGGACAAATTGGGTGTCGAAACCAAAGTTTTTTGGCTC